CAGGTAGAGGATGGAGGGATACACATAAAGCACAGGTTCTGTTAAAGTGAGCAGGTTAAATGGAGCCTTCTGTCCTCCAGTCTTGTTGAACTGAGTGGAACGGTGGACAGGAGCCAGGGTTGTTGACTTGGGGAGGAAGACTGCTTTTACTCTTAGAGTTTACATGCGCTCTAATAAATGAACTAGAAGCCAAACAAGGTATTACTTTAAGGTAATACTTGGATTATAGCAACTGTTGTGTCAACATCTTAACAAGAATATCTCATTTGTAACGTGTTAAATTAGAAAGACTTCTGAATGTTTTGAGAAATCTGCTACCTACACTATATCAACAACCATAACACAATGGAGGTTACTATTTCACTTGTGTTGCTCGTGTGACTAAAAATAAGGTATTCGGCTTCTTACACATTTTGTCTGATTCTCTGCCGAGTCCTTGATGAATCCAGTTTTAATTGGACTACAGTATTTTCCTTATAATTTTTTCACTGTTAATGCTAATGTTTCAAAGTTTGTATAGACTGTTTAGATACAGAAGAGCTTACAATCTGATTGGAGGAGAGATGAACCAGATTCAAAGATGGACACATGGTTTGAAATGAGATGGTGTTGCCAAATGAAGTGCTAATTGCGTGGCAAAGTGCGCCTGTTTTCTGCAAAAAGTATGTCTGATTCATGTTTTGGTAGATTGTTGGAAAAGGAAAACAACGAGGACACTTGCATGTTTCCTTCTGCTTTAAATGTTGATGCTGTTAAAACAGTGTCTTCTAAACACAGGAGTAAAAACAGGGTTCCAATGTAATTATAAGTCAAACTCTTGAATTATTTACAATATACCTTTAATTATGAGGTGAAAACTGCTGAAATGACTGGTCCTTTAAACGTGGGAACATGAAGTTGCTATTGGACCATATTTGAACAATCCTCATTTTAAGACTGTTCAGAATAATGAATAGATATTTGAAATATTTCCCCCTGCCAGGACTAAATAACAAGAAAGACCCCTGTCTGACTGAGCTCCCCGACAAAGCGTCCCCCTCCAAGTCCCTCTCTTCCTGTCCATAACCTCCCCCCTCAAATGAGCATTTTGCAGTTCCCCCAAAAACAGAACTCAGGAAGAGGAAAAGCAGGAGGAGGGGGTGGTCTGGCAGCTCTGGCTTCAAATCTATGTGACACATCACAACACCCAGCCTTCTTCCTCCTCCTCCTCCTCCTCCGCAACACACCCCTCTGTATCCCCCTCTACTCCAACACACTCACTCCATCCTTTGACTACCCCTGTGTCCACCCTCCACCCAGCCCACTGGTAGGAGTCAGCCACACACTCTGACATCAGCATGTGTCAGCCAGAGTTTTTAGTCTACTACACCGATTCATAATTAAAGACTTTCTGAGGGACTTTAAAAGTTCCTCAGATATACTCCACACGGGGCCACAGGATTTATTACAAATCTGTTCAATCAGACAGCACTTTCTGAGGTTACATTTTGGCGCCATATTGGAAACAACATTTAGTGGCAATGCAACTCGAATGCACATCTTCCTTACACACACCAAGAGAGACAAGGAAGGAAAAAAGGGGGCGACCCATTTGCTTACCAATGATATCGGACCTGCTCATTATTGAACTTGTCTGATTTATAGAATTGTATTGCCAACATTTACCAGATCCTATATTACAAACGTGTGATCTGAAGGAAAACAGCATAACACATTAAAATACTCTAAGAGTGAATAATAGTATGAAGGGTATTTAATTGTCTGGAGTACAATAAAGGCAAGGGTACTTTTCTCTTTCATACAATGAACCTAAAAAGCAGCGGCAAACTGAATCCTCCATAGAAACCTACAACAATATGCCAATGGTTAGACCTTATGGTTGGCTGGGGTTGAGGATGGGGGTTGTCTATTGTCAACGGGCTGCTTGAAAGGACTAAGTATTATGGAGAGAGACTGCAAATCAAGTGCTTAGCCCTCCCTTAAAGCGGACCCCACTGTCTGCACAAAACCCACAGAGAACCGGTCTACAAGCAGAGTGACAGAGAGGACAACGTTTCCCACTGAGGCACAGAGGGAAATAGCGGCAGTAACCAAGGCAGGGAAAGGGGGAGGTGGTAACAGAAAAAAAAGAGCGGGAAACACGGGAGTGTGAGAAAAAAAAGGGGGCAAAGAATTCGGGAGGGAGACTAGCCGAAGAACGCGAGTAAGACATCAATGGGACAAACAAACCGAAACTAAGCTTGTTACCCTCCAGTAAAAAGTACCATTCTCTTAAGTGTTTTGTTAATGGGCTGCAAAGCCATACTAATACTAAACTGAGTCATCTCCTGACAACTCAAATCCCACCTGCTTACGAAGTGTAGTGTGACAGAAGGTGAAGGCGGGCTGCTGCTGTACTGTATCTGCCATCTTGTCTTCCAGTAAGCTGCATCTCATAATAAGTTCATCAGAAAAAGGCTCTAATGATAAGAACCTAGGCTGTTGTACAGTCCATTGTCACAGGTCACCCATCCATACTGCTCTAATGGAAGATGAGAACCAAGATTTAATTAAAAGAATAGATCGACATTTTGGCTATATCCTTTTCCCACAATACGACCGTACTGCAATGCCATTATTTGACATTTCTAGCTACTTCTAGCATTGAAACTCAGCCATAATGTAACATCACATCAAGATCAAGTGACTAACAGTCTGTGGGCATACCCGAGGGTTAGCACATCAAAATGGATTTGATTTGCTTAAGGCTCGAAAGCCTTTCACTCATTATATATCTACTGCTAAGCTCTCAGAAGCCGTGGTTTTAATGCCACATGTGCTGCTGCTCAGAAATACTACAGGGGAAGAGAGTGACTGTCTGTTTCTAGGCGGGCTGTGCAATCAATTTGCATTTTCTCACACAACTCAATGGAGGGCCCCCTTTTAATCATTCATCCAGACATGGGACTCACTGGTTGGCCTGTGGTGGTTAGTGATATGTGATTGTGAACCAACACACACTGCCAAGGCCCTGCAGGGAGCCACATGGACAAGCCACACAGTTAACAAAACATGCATCTGTCGGACTGTATTAATACACTAATGTCCTCCAAAGTGAACGCATCAAAGACACTCCTTACACATTTAACACTGACTGGAACTATACTATATATGAAATCCCGTGGAACACTTTGATGCAAGCAAACAACAAAACACTAATGATGAGTGATAGCATAGTGGGTATAGTCGAAGTTTACACAACTTGAGTAATCAGTGAATTATTTTAAAATAAGGTGGGTGGGAGAGTGAAAGGAAGACTTTGATTTGTCAGCATGTGTGTATATATCTTTACTGAATCTGTATCACTTGCTTTTGTTAAAAAAACTGAGAAAATCAATACAAATATTTACCATAAAGAGTACAAAGAGTACACACACACCTGCCCATACACTGACACATAACTGCTTTAGTAACAGTAGGTGCATGGTTTCTGGGAAAACACCTTCAGTTCCCTTATGCTACGGACATTGGAAGTGTCCCAGCTGAGAGGAGCAGACACACTAATGAGACAGGAGACACCAGAGAGGGATCTCCTTTACAGGAGGAGGGGGTGCTTTAAGATCCACCTGCTGTATCATGTGTCACTGGCTGATCGAGAGTACCTGGCATTCAGTTTATGGTCACATAAGTGGAAAGCTTCCGTTATAGCTGAGACAAAGCCAGTCCGTTTGGACTGTTTAACTACTACTATGATCAAGAAAGAAACTATTTACTGGCCAAGGCCTGGATTGATATTTCTTTTTTATCACCTGGAACTTGCAAGGCTTGTTGAGATTACAAGGTTTTGCAGACTTTAAAAAGGTTAAGCTTACATGTTATTGGTACCAAAACCAATAAAAGTCAGCCTGTCAATGTTCTTAAGGAAACACTTACTACCTACTCACTCTTAAGGAAATAGATAACAGCATGGGGCTAAATGTTTTATGCACAAAAAAAGGGAGTGCAGCAAGACAGGTATCAGACTGAAGGTGTTGTGAGAGAAGGATACTGCTAGATACATCGAGGTCAGTCTGGGGTCATTGGGTGACTAAAAAAGCTGGGGGCATGAAAGGACATTAAGTATCCCACTGGCAGAACTTCTTAGGTGACTATCCATGCTCATTTTAGGCTGAACAAAACATCTCATTATTCACTATAGGCGTCTTAAACTATGAAACAACTTATTAGTGTGGGTGTCTTCCAGAGAAATACCAGGCTTAACCACGCATCTGTTTGATGAATCCCACACAACTGGCTGATGATGATGCTAATGAGTTACAGTGAATAAGACAGAAAACTCCTCAGTACCCTTCAGAAATGTCTTATAAATGTTTTGTAACAGCCACATACTTTACTTTGTAGTTCAAATAATTTGTATTTCTTCTTGCATGGTGGTAATAGTTATTCACTAGCTGTGACTCATTTGTAGGCTAATTAAAAGCAGAGGCTGACAGTCGGTCAAGTACATCCTCCATCCTACCGGCGTCTCATCTTATCCATGCAATGTAACTTCCATTCGCACATGCAACCAGTGGTGTAAGGAAACTAAGTATTACTCAAGTACTGCACTTAAGTACAATTTTGAGGGACATGTTTTGCTACATTGTACTTCTACTCCAATACATTTAAGGGGTAAATAGTGTACTTTTACTCCAGTAGATGTATTTAATACCTTTAGTTACTTTGCAGATTTTGATCAATTATGTGATATATAATCCACCTTTAAATATGACTTTAGTTACACATGGAGTGAATCCACAAGCTACCCTGCAATATACAAGTTATTAAAAAATGCTCCAATTGAATGCATAAATAATTATAATCTAAACATAGCCTATAATATAAATTATTCTGAAATGGGCCACTCAGCATAACGAGTACCGTTACTTTTTGTACTTTAAGTATATTTAAGTACTTCTACTTTTACTTAAGAAGAGGATCTGAGCACTTCTTCCACCTCTGCATGTAAACGGAATAATTACCTGTAGTTCCGAGTTCCATTCATGAGGTCTCTGTCCGGATAACTCCCGGATCACAGTAGCCAAACGTGTGGGACTCTTCCTCCGTGCAGTCCGGTGTCTCCTTCTGCAGCGCACCGCCTCTGCCGCGCTGAATGGCCGAGTGTCCTCTCTGCTAGCTCCTCTCTCCTCGCAGACTGTCATAAAACAGGGGCCCTTCGGTACGGTCCTTCCGCAAAACGGGGGTTTTCAGCGTCCCCCGTGTCCGCACTCCTGTCAACGTATTAAACCGGGGGTTCACTGCCACGGCGAAAGCTGGTTGCGACGCTGAGGCAGTTTAAAAACCGGCTAGTTAGCCAAGTGGGCTCGCTAGCCAGGCTTAGGAAAGTGTCAGGAACGGACGAGGTGAACTGTCAGGATATCATCACAGCGGGGTCACTGAGTCCAAATGAACACCTACCGATGGATGATCCTCACCAGAGGCGACATTAATGCGTGTCCCCTGCACAGCGAGCTCCCGGTGGTCTTCAGTAATTAGCTAAATGGCTAGCTCGGCTGTTGGATAGTTGGAATTCTGACAGACGACGGTTACTTCTAAACCGCCACTGACACAGCCCCGTTTCCTAACAACCATATCCCAACGACGTTGTTCTCTTAAGCTTGTATCCCTATGCCGAAATAAACCCGGCAGAGTCCGCCAGCAAGTGTCAAGGCTTTCGGTCAGGTTGACAGATCAACTCTGCAGGGCTTCGGCAAGCAGCTAAATATGGTTAAGTTGCCTTTCTGACACCGACAGGAAGAGGTGGGCTCTGTCACCATACGTCAGAAGAATCAACTCCGCCTTCATCAAAAGTGAAACCCCAATTTTACATTAATATGGATACATTGTGTATAAAATATGCATTTCTTCAGAGGTGGAAGAAGAACTCAAATCTTGTACTTGAGTAAAAGTAGAACAAGTATTAGAGTGTACGAATACACTTTTACAAGAAAAAGTCCTGCAATCAAAATGTTAAAATACAAATAAAGAATCAAAATCAGAATATACTTAAAGTACCAAAAGTAAAAGTACTCGTTATACAATATGTTTTGATTGGAATTATTGTTGCATTAAAGTGATATCAAAGCTGGTAAAGGTGCAGCAATTGGTATTTACTTTGTATGCTGCAGGGTAGCTTGTGAATTTGCTCCCGGTTTACATAAAGTCCTATTTAAGTGTTGAATGATTATATTCATCATTATCATCATCATCATTTATAATCAATTCTGAAAAGTAACTCAAGGTATTCAATACATTTTTTGAAGTAAAAGTACATGATTTACTTCTGAATCGTAGTGGGGTAGAAGTAAAAGACTGTGAATGTGAATTATCGAATACATTTGTGTTAAGTGGAGCCAAACAGCTGAAATTGGTAATCATGTAAGTAATAATCTACATATCACAATGGAAACTCCCTAAAATGATTCATTTCATAACAGACAATTATTCTTGTATTACAGGGGATCTGACATGTATTATTTAAATATGCTAATGGTGAATTATAGTTATATGTTATGTTTAAATATTCAAAAGAGGCATTATATAATGCTAAGTTTAAGTACATTTATGAGAAATTCAAGATCAGAATTAGTAAACTAAACACCTTAAACATGTATATTGCAGGTTTTCTTTGCACTAGTCGGAATGAAAACTCATTGCATCAAAATAGCCCAAACTTTCAATTTTGAACAGTGCATGAGAAATATTTGTAATAACATTTTTGCTGAACAGAAGGTTTTGGGCTTCTGATGTGTAATGGAAAATGTATAAGTTACATTTTATCTTGATAATTCCTTTTTAAGAATAGATTCAACCAAAATCAGAGCAAACAATACTGTTTTTTCAGTTATAAAAAAATAAGCACAACAGGATAATAAAAAACAATTTATTTTTTCTTTAAAAAATAACCCGCCCCAACAGAGTTCATACTATCACATACAGAGCCAAAACAATATGCTTTCATGTCCTTTCATTCAAATATATTGGGAAGTGCTATGACAAGGACTGTTCTTGATCAGTGGCTTTAATATTGCTTAGTCGGACAGTGAGGCTGTGTGGAGAGGAGTGGACTCTCCGGTGTCCACATGATGCATTTCCAGGGTGACTGCCATTTCGCCTCCCCCCTTTGCAAGGTGCTTTGTTGCTTCAGTGACTGAAGAACTGCATCTGGTTTCAGTGGTAGTGGGAAATGCCCCAAGACTTATTTTTCTTTACTTTTGTCATCACAGGATGAAGGGTAAACACTTGCCCCAACTGTGAAAGGCTTGGCAACTGGTGAGCCAAAATACATAACGGGTTAATATTATATATTTCTATATACAAATCACCTTGGACACAACGAAAGATCAGTAAAACGGTGTACAAAGGCATTTTGATTTGACAAGTTAATAAACACGATTTAAGAATCTTCTGATCTCTTATCTTTTGATCCCTTTCACCTCAAAAGTTTTTTTACCATCAGACAAGATTTGAGGCGCTTTAACGGCAACTGACGTGGAATTTTGAGACCGTTTCCACAGTGCCCTCTTGAGGAAATATCTGACACTAGTCACATCATCATCATAATAATGACAAAGGAAAAAGTATTTATAACCGATACACTATCGATGCAAAAACTGACAGGCAGTGACGAGCGCAAGGCTCCTACCTCTAAGTAAACCAAAATAAGGTGGCTCAGAATATCCAGTCGTAAAAAATAAGTACATGCATTGTTTTCATTAATCCAGAAAGTGACTATATGTAAAGGCAGGGAATATTTTGTAGTAGTAATGGCACACCCTGTTCAATGTAGCAATCCCCTATCTGTGCCGCCCATGCACACAGAGCACCAATGGGGATTGGCTAGCACAAGTAAGAGGATGCTGCGGGTATGTGATGTTTAAAAGTGAGGATACAAAGCAAGGATAGAATGTGATGATGGGAAGGGTGGAGAGGGATAGTTTGACTTAGAGGGGAATAAGGGGACAAGTGCATTTGAAGAGGTTGGTCTCTACATGCTAAAGAGACGGAGAGGGACGATATGTGTGTGCTTCTGCTTTTCAGGCTAAAAATTGTAAATGCCTGCAGAGGGAAGAGCTTTGGGGATATAAGTGTAAAGGAACACAAAGAAGTTTGCAGGTGGAAGATTAGAGCGCACCATCTCTACTGATACATGTTGGAATGTGCAGAATGATCGGAGCAAGTTCAATTGCTGAGAGTAAGTTCAGCTTTGCAGCACTTAAGTGATCACAGATTTATATTTTGCCTGCATTCAAATCTACTGAGTGTTGACCTTGCCTATTGCCGTAGTTACCTATTTGTTCTGAAAGCTATGCATATGTGGGTGTAAAACTTCAATCTAGTCTGCGGCAAGCCTCAGCACAGACAAGTCCCACCATTTTGGAGTAAAACAAATAATCTAAAAGTAAATGAAAAGTGCCTCAAATATCCTATAAGAGCTATGCATACAGAAAAAAAGGATTATCTTCCTGTTGAAGGGCCCCTTTTCCATTGGTTGGCATCACATTTGGCTGGTTAATAATGCTGGTTTAGGTGCATGGGGTGCAAGTATATTTGATACACTCTATGCAAATGGTCCCTCTATTGTTTTGCTAGGCTTACCTCTATAAGCTACATCTCTAAGGGACTCAACAACCAGCATAGAGAGTGCGGCAGGATTCTCTCCTGTATCTACGATATGCTACACCTGCTCTTTCTGTCTCTGCTAATATAAAGACCAGAGGGCAAGCCGCGAATTTACTAACAAACTCTTTTGTGCAGGACTGGTGGCACCTACATGCTAATGCTAAGTGCTATTGTACCATACCTCAGACTCCTCAAGGCATTTAAAAAAATAACATGATTCAAAAACATTAAAAACATGAATGTAGTTCATGACATGAAATGATACAAGTAAGTGTGCGTGCCCAGTACCACCCCCTCTGGAGGATCACTAAGGTGCGTGGACACTGGCATCCGGATAGGTCAAGAGGCAGCATCGAGGTGGCAGTTTTTTTTTTTTGTATTATTTTTTTCCTGCCTGTTTTCCTCCTATCCGTATTACATACTTACATACAAAAGGGGTGTGAATGTAGTGTACAATACAATTACATAATAATAATAATAATAATAACCATGTTTAAAAATTCAACATAAAAAAGAGCAATAGCCCTGGTAAAGTAAAAACAAAGAAATTACAATAATAATAATATGGATAACTGTTTGAGTGCATGAGGCTGTAGAGTCTGCCTGTGTTGTACAGGTGAACGCCTTGTGTTCTTCAGGAGAACGACTGGCAGGTCTGTGGCGTATGTGTGGTGGGCAGTCATTGGGAATAAGGGATGGGGATGAGGTGATGGTTGGCCATGTGCCAACTCAGGTAGAAATGAAGTGAGGGGGGTCGATGGTGGTGAGAGTAGGTGTAGCTCAGGCGAAGTACATGGTCCTCAGGGTGTCGTGGTGAATCTGAACAGCTTTAGCCAGCGCCTGGGGGTCCCGACCGTTACTCTGCCCGGACACATGGCTGCCCTCTCCACTGCAAAGATGATGGGGGAAAAGTTGCAGAACAATGATCAGTTTAACTATATGTAATTATTATCGAAATAAAGTCTCTAACTCGGGGTCCAAATCCCACGTTGGGTTAGAGAAGTCTATGATAGCGCATTGGGGAGAGAAATGCAGCATATTGTGTCCAACTACATCCTGTCCAACTACATCCTGTCCAACTACATCCTGTCTCATTTAAATGTAAGAAAAAAACTAGAACTATTATGATGAAACAATAAAAAATACGCCATTATATAATTTTAGGCAGGTCAAACTGAATTAAATGATGGTATGCCAATATGATAAAAAAATATATAAGGACACATCATTATTAATTTCCTACCCTAATTTTAAGTCTAATGTAATTTACGTTTAACATATTTATGATAAAAAAGTAATTGAGCTTTAAATATTTCCCTTTTCCCAAAGACAGAATACAAAACAAAACATATTTTGCTACTGAGAACTTTGGGAAACAAAACATTTCCTCACAAACAATGAGCTTTTGCAAAACCATGCGTCCATATTGCATCACCACACTCACCTGTCATGTTCTTTGTCCACCAGATGGTAGCGGGCACGGAAGGCCACAAGACGAGCGTAGTAGGCTGGCGCAGGGATGGAGACGGAGCGGGTACAGCGCACGTACGTGTGGCACAACTGGTACGTTAGAATCTGCAACTCGTCAGCCGTGAAGCGATTGTCGTCCCATAAGACGTAGTAATGAGACGGCCGGCTGGTACCCTGGAAACAGAGAGAGGGAAAAAATGTGATGAAACATCTGTTGAACAACAAAAACAACCAAATGTGACGTTAAGAGGTTACTTACAGCAATGACAGACATATAACATATAACATGGTTGTCCTGTTCTCATTACCTGTATGCCTGCATGGCTGCACAGGTAGAAGTCAAACTCAAAGGGATGAGTGATGCTGGTGTCCACTGTCGTCCCAGCAGGAATATTTCCACTCTTCCCAATCTATTAAAAGAAAAAAACAATAAGATCATTATTAAATATTTAGACAAGTATGCAAGTCTTTTTTAAACTTAAAAGCTCACCCTTTCAGACTTGTCGGCACAGAAGAGGCGTGTGTGGTGGCGTTTCTGCACAACAATGTAGGTGATGCCTGGCTGATAGTCTTTCTCCAACTTAATGCACGCATCTCTGATGGCCAGCAACTCGTAGTGGAGAATCTGCAC